AATTTTGAAGATCTAAAAATCCTCAGGGTCATGAATTTAGTTTAAAGTGGTCTCAACTGGTAGGGCCAGCTCCTAGGTGCCTGGCAGAAGCAAACACAGATCCCTGTGATCTAGCTAAGCTGATTCAGATAAGAGTTTTAGACAAAAATGTATTTTTAGAGATAGAAAGGTCAGTTCACAATGATAGAGGTTTGAATTCATCAGGAAGGTAAAACAATATTAAAGTTATATGTAACCAACACGGCCTCAGTACTATGTAAAGTAACAGAAGTAGGAGAAACAGACAAGTTGACAATAGTATGATTTCTCAGTAACTGATAGAATAACAAGATAAAATCCAGTAAAGATAATAGTAGATTACGTGAACAAATAGTAACAGGAAATCCAGTAGACATGTATAGAACTCTGCATCTAAATTACAGAATACACATTCAGGTTCACTTGGAACATTTACACAATTTATACTGCTTCCAAATGCAAGTCTCCACAAGTCTGAAAGGATTAAAATCATACAGAGAATGCCCCCTGGTTACAGTACAGTTCAGATGGAAGTTAATAATAAGATAACGAGAAAATCTCATGTGTTTGGAAATTAAATACTTCTCAGTAACCCAATGTGTCAAGAAAGAAACTGTAATATTAGGAAATATGTTAGAATGAATAATAATGAAAATGCTATATTCAAAGCTTGAGAGATGCAACCAAAGTAGGGGTTGGCAGGAAATATATATTCTTTTTAAAAAAAATTATAGCTGACATATTCGTGTCAAGTGTCAATACACAGCATAGTGATTTGACGTCTGTATACATTATGAAATGATCACTGCAGAGTCTAGTTACCATCAGTCACCATATGAAGTTACTATAATATTATTGACTAGATTCCCTTTACTGTACTTTATGTTCCCGTGACTTATTTATTTTATAACTGGAAGTGTGTACCTCTTAATCCCCTTCACCTATTTCACTCACCCCCTTGCCCTTCTCTCTGGCAACCACCAGTTTGTTCTCTGTACTTTTGAGTCTGTTTTTGTTCTGTTTTTTAGATTTCACATAGAAGTGAAGTCATACAGTATTTGTCTTTTTCTGTCTGACTCATTTCACTTAGCACAGTAGCCTCTAGGTCCAGTCCTGTTGTCACGAATGGCAGGATTTCATTCTTTTTGATGGCTGATATTCCATTGTGTATACATCTTCTTTATCCATTCATCTGTGGGTGGACAGTTATGTTGCTTACGTATCTTGGCTGTTACAAATAATGCTGCTGTGAACATAGGGATGCATGTATCTTTTCGAATTGGTGTTTTCATTTTCTTTGGGATAAATCCCCAGAAGTAGAATCGCTAGATTGTATGGTAATTCTATTTTTAATCTTTTGAGGAACCTCCATTCTGTTTTCCATAGTGGCTGTACTAATTTATATTCCCACCAGCAGTGCACGAGGGCTCCCTTTCCTCCGTATCCTCACCAAGCTTGTTTTTTTTCGACAATAGCCATTCTGACAGGTGTGAGGTGAGACTGTGGTTTTGATTTGCATTTCCCTGCTGATGAATGATGTTGAGCAACTTTTCACGTGTTTGTTGGCCACTGGATGTCTTCTTTGGAAAAATGTCTATTCAGATCCTGGGCCCATTTTTTAATTGGATTTTTTTTTTTTTGATGTTGAGTTGTAGATGAGTTCTTGATATATTTTGGATATTAATCCCTTATGGTATCTATCCCTTACAAATGTCTTCTCCCATTCAGTGAGTTGCCTTTTTGCTTTGTTAATGATTCCCTTCACTGTGCAAAAAGCTTTTTAGTTTGAGGTGGTCCTGTTTGTTAGCTTTTACTTTTGTTGTCCTTGCCTGAAGAGTAGGATCCAAAAAAATATTTCCTTTTCTTTTTTTAAAAAATATTTATTTATTTATTTTAGAGAGAGAGAGTGCATGCAAGCAATGGGAAGTGGCAGAGAGAGAGGGAGAGTCTGAAGCAGATTGCGCTGAGCACAGAGCCCAATGCAGGGCTCTATCTCATGACCCTGAGATCATGACCTGAGCTGAAACCAAGAGTTGGACACTCAACTGACTGTGTCCCCCAGGCACCCCCCGAAAAGATATTTCAAAGACCAATGTCTGGGAATTTACTATGTTTTCTTTTAGGAGTTTTACTGTTTCAGGTCTTACATTTAAGTCCTTAATCCATTTTGAGTTTCTTTTTGTATATGGTGTAAGAAAGTGGTCCAGTTTCATTCTTTTGCATGTAGCTGTCCAGTTTTCCCAACACTATTAATTGAAGAGACTGTCCTTTCCTCACTGCATATTCTTGCCTCCTTTGCCATAGGTTAATTGACCATGAAAGCATAGCTTTATTTCTGGGCTCTCTGTTCTGTTTCATTGATGTATGTGTCTTTGTGCAAGTACTATACTGTTTTGGTTACTATAGCTTTGTAGTATACTATATGGATACTATAGCTTTGTAGTTACTATAGCTTTGAAATCAGGGAGCATGATGTCTCCAGCTTTGTTCTTTCTCAAAATCGGTTTAGCTATTGGGGTCTTTTTGTGGCTCTGTATAAAGTTTAGGGTTATTTATTCTAGTTCTGTGAAAAATGCCATTGGTATTTTGATAGGGATTGCACTGAAGTCTGTAGATTGCTTTGGGCAGTATGGACGTTATAACAATATTCTTCCAATCCATGAGCATGGAATATATCTTTCCATTTATTTGCATCCTCTTCAATTTCTTTCATCAGTGTCTTACAGTTTTCAGAGTACAGGTCTTTCACCTCCTTGGTTAAATTTATTCCTAGGTTATTTTATTCTTTCTGATGCAGTTGTAAATGAGGTTGTTTTCTTAATTTCTCTTTCTGATAATTCATTATTAGTGTATAGAAGTGAAGCAGATTTCTGTATATTGATTTTGTATCCTGCAACTTTATGGAATTCATTTATTAATTCTAGTAGTTTTTTGGTGGAGTCTTTATAGCTTTCTGTATATAGTTTCATGTCATCTGCAAATAGTGACAATTTTACTTCTTTTTTTTTTTTTACCAGTTTGGGTGCCTTTTGTTTCTTTTTTGTCCCTGCTGAACAGGGAGCCCGATGTGATATGGGGCTTGATCCTAGGACCTCAGGACCATGATGTTTAACTGACTGAGTCACCCTGGCGCCCCTCAGTTCACTAATATTTTGTTGAAGATTTTTGCTTCTGTGTTCATCAGAGATTTTGGTCTGTTTTTGTTTGTAGTGTCTGGTTTTGGTATCAGGGTAATGCTGGCCTCATAGAATAGGTTTGAAAGTATTCCTTCCTCTTCAATTTTTTGGAATAGTTTGAGAAGTTGGGTATTAACTCTTCTTTAAATGTTCAGTAGAATTTACCGGTGAAGCCATCTGGTCCTAGACTTTTGTCTGTCAGAAGTTTTTCAACTACTGATTCAATTTCATTCCTTTTTCCTTCCAAGTGATTTAGAGTATGGGAAACACACTGAGTTGGGCAAGAAGTGACCTGGGTGGGAACCTTACCTCCAAGACATTCTAGAACTTTAGCTTTAATGAAAATGTCTATATCAAAACCCTGTTTCCCTTACCGAGGAACCATGCCCCTGAAAGTGTAGCCTCTCTTGCTGAGGTTCCCTAACTCCCTGTTCCTGCCACAGAGATCATCTAGAAGTTTAGCTCCTTTGGGTGAGCATCTCAGCCTAAAGTCTGTACTCCTGCTAGGGAGGTTCTCACCATAAAGCTTGGCTCAGATGCTCCCTCCCCGTCCCCCCCCCCCCCCCCGTCCCCCCCAGCCTTCATTCTTTCCCTTTTTCTAACACTCTTGGCTGTGAATAGAGCACTAGGCTCCCTCTCCCCACCCCCTCTCCAATCTTCTCTCTGTATCATTTGTTGGTTTCCTTCCATGCATGATGGAGCACAGAGAGCTGAGCCTGCAGGAGAAAAACAAATGACTTAGTTCCAGCACTAGAAACATGCTGCTCCTTGCTTATTAACTTTGGGCTGGGGTAGGAGGTGAGTCATTTCTCATCCATTGAAAAAAGAGCTGAGTAGTATCACTTTAAGTTACGCTATTAAGGGCGCCTGGGTGGCTCAGTTGGTTAAGCGTCTGCCTTCAGCTCAGGTCATGATCCCAGGGTCCTGGGATCGAGCCCCGCATTGGGCTCCCTGCTCTGCGGGGAGCCTGCTTCTCCCTCTCCCACTCCCCCTGCTTGTGTTCCCTCTCTCGCTGTGTCTCTCTCTGTCAAATAAATAAAATCTTAAAAAAAAAAAATAAGTTACGCTATTAAAGTCACGTAGCAACTTCTGGGAATAAGTGAACAATCTGGAGAGTTTTGAGCTCTTTAGTGTTGGTTTGGGTGGGGGTTAAGAGCTCAGAACCTGAGGCGAGGGCACTGTCGGTTTCATTTTGAGTGAAATCCCTTGTAATCATCAGCCCTTCTCTCTACCTACTGGAATGAATTTATTCTTCATGTTGCCTTGTAGGTCTCACTTCTGGCGAACCTTTCCTCAGCCATCCTATTCTTGTTGTGCTTGCTCTCTTAACACTTAAAACACTTAACTGCTTTTTACTACTCTTTTGGTCTTGAACATATGTTACTTGATACTGTTTGAGATCTTCTGACAGGAAGTGACTCATCGTCTGTTCCACTAGGATTCTCTGCCTCCGCAGCTCAGGGACTGAGTCTTAAGAGATCTGGCTTCTCCCTGGAAACACCTCCCATAGCACCTTTGTACCATTTGCCATCATTAGAAGAGACTGATTCAGTATCTGATTGTTCTGCACAGTTGGAGCAGCTTAGGGTTATTCTTGCAGATGCCTACAATCCCAGACGGGTACAGGTAGACATAGAGAAATCCTGCACAGAGCTGTGCATAAACAACTAAATATATTTTCTGGGGGAGGCCCAGGTAGGAGGCCGAGTCCCTAAGGGGGAAGGATGGAGGGAAGAAAGCCCCGGTTTTAATTTCATTTTTCTCCTATTAAAATGCCCTTCTCGCATCCTTGGTCTCTTTTCACAGAATCCTGGCATCAGCATCACTGAAAATGTGCTGCATTTCAAAGGTCAGTATCCGGGCAAATGGTCCCAGCTCTCTACACAGCTAAAGAGGCATGGTGGTGGTTTCTTTTTCCTTTTTATCGATTTGTTTTATTCACTTTCTATTGATGTTCACCTCTCTGCTGCTCTTGGGGTAAACTAGATTATTTTGAAATATATGATTAGAAAAGTCAAAGAACTTATTAGGACTTAGTCCTGCTTTCCTCTTAGAGAGGCAGTAGATAGAGTGAGAAAGAATCCCGGGCTGGAAATCAGGACATCTGTCTTCTAGCTCTAATTCTGCTATCCTTGGACAACTTACTGACTTCTCTGGGCTAATAAAATGAAGGTATTTGGTTATAATCTGTATTTCTCAAATTTTAGGACCTATGGACACCTGAGAAAATGTCCTAAGGATCCTCCTGGGCCATGGACCCCAGTTTGAGAAAACATGTGAAGAATTAAATATGTTCACTTTATTATTATTATTTTTTTTAAGATTTTATTTATTCATTTGACAGAGAGATAGAGCCAGAGAGTACAAGCAGAGGGAATGGCAGAGGGAGAGGGAGAAGCAGGCTCTGCACTAAGCAGGGAGCCTGATGTGGGGCTCGATCCCAGAACCCTGGGATCATGACCTGAGCTGAAGGCAGACGCTTAACCATCTGAGCCACCCAGGCGCCCAAAATATGGTCATTTTATTTATTTATTTATTAAAGATTTTATTTATTTATTTGACAGAGACACAGCGAGAGAGGGAACACAAGCAGGGGGAGCAGGAGAGGGAGAAGCAGGCTTCCCGCTGAGCAGGGAGCCCGATTCGAAGCTCGATCCCAGGACCTTGGGACCATGAGCTGAGCTGAAGGCAGATGCTTAATGACTGAGCCACCCAGGCGCCCCAAAATATGGTCACTTTAAATGATATTTGGCTCCATTGCCCCTGGGAACACAGCCTGTATTCTTGGCATGTCAGTATTTAATTATAAGGTAGCCATCTAGATGATCCAGAATACACGTCTTTTTTTTTTTTTAAGATTAAAATCGAAACAAAAAATAGAAATTTTCTTAATGAGACTTTACAGTTCTCTGATGCTATACTCACAGACCAGTTTAAGAAACACGGCATTCTAGATGATACCTAAAGCCTTTGCAGCCCTGACAGTCTTTGATTCTGTGAATCTGCCTCCGTCTTCTTCTCGGTTTGTCAGCAGCTATGCTGCTGTGCCTGAGAGGGTAGGTCCGGCTCCCTTGTCACCCAAGGGGTGGGATTCTCCCTCCTCTCTCTTTGTGCTAGTTCCTTGGAGTGTCGTTAGTAAGTGGCTGGGCAATATGGGATATTGACGAGTTTCTGCTTTACTGGAGATTCCATCTACCTCCATACGCTTGCATGAACATGCAGCCTGGCTTTTGTATCTGCATTTCAAGACGAGAGCCGTTGTGGTAGCAGCTCAGATTTTTTGGGTGTTAATACATTTGAAAGGAAGTTAAGTGATGGAAGTATGCTTTGCCACTTGGAGATTATGGACTGCTCGACCTTAAGGAACTTATGGTCTTAGAGAACAATAGCCACCTGTAGCAAATATTAGGCAAATTATACCACACGTGGCCAGATGAGGAAAGAGAATCCCAGGAGGGAACCAAATGACGGGCAAGTCAGAGAGTTAGAGGGGAAGGGATGTGCAGCAGACCTTGGCACCTAGGCATGGCACCTGTTTGTTTTGGGCAAGGGAGCCATGTCAAGGCACAGGAATGGCGGAATGGTCAACCCAGGGACTTTCCTCCCACGTCATTTTTCCTCTCTTAGGAACGAGCGGAGGAGATTATATTGCTCTTTTTCGTTCCATTCAGGATGTGTTAAAGGAGAAGTCAGCTTCTTCATTTTATGTCTCTGGTTGGGAGGTTCTAGATTCGGAGCTTTCTTTGAGACAGTCCAGCATTTCCATATACCCTGCAGCTTTCCTTAGTTGCAGTCAAGATAATGTACCTACCTGATATTTCTCTGCCCTGGATTCAGTGCCAAAGTAAATGTTAAAAGTTACATTTATAGCTCTGTGATACCTTTGGCTTTGCTTTCGGTATTCTTTTTCCTGCCTATTATTTGTACTTGGTTATTATCGAGGCCACATTGGAAGATGAAGTAAATATTCTGGAACTGATCATCAGAAGGACATATGGAGATAAGCTTTTGTCCGGGATTCAGCTTATCTAGCTTGTCTGAGTAGCTCTGCTCACAAGCCCCCACTGATTTGGGCAGGACCCATTACTGTTTGTATACTTCCAAAAGAACTGCACCAAGCTTTTGGATGGCCTTGCTCTGCCAGTTCACTTTAATCCACATTTCTTTCTTTGTAGCTCAGGGACATGGTGCCAAAGGAGACAACGTCTATGAATTTCACTTGGAGTTCTTAGACCTTGTGAAACCAGAGGTATGTCCTTTCTTTTCTCACTTCCCTTTCCATTTCAGGAAATAAATACGAGTAGTTTAGTGAAATAGGGGGGTAGGGGTTGTGAGGAAAAAAAAAGATAAAAACCAGAGAATATAGTTCTTTTGTTGGGAACTGAGTTCCGATTTTAGCTGCAGAGGAGTGGGAAAGACAGAGAGCCTGAGGGGAATCTGGGCTCCGCCATTTACTAGCGGTACAAACAAGTCTCTTCATTTCCGTGAGTGAGTTTCCTCATGTGTGAAATGAAGGGTTGGACTAAGAAATCCTTAGGGGCCTTTCTAGCTCTGACACTGTCTGGTGTTAGGGAAGACAGAGCAGGATGGCACTGGCAGGGAGCAGAGTTACATAAGGTAGGTGAAGGCCACGCCAAGCGCTTGCTTTCATGTGACTTGGCTACAGGGGCAGTAGAAATCAGAAAAGGTGGAGACTGCCAACCTTTAGAAAGAATGGGGAAATATCCTTGAAGTTTCCTTTCTCTCAGAACTTGAGGGAAGCTTTTCTGACAGGAAGAGAGAATCTAACAGAAGGTGTGTTTTGGGTTCTGGAATTACACTCTTATCTCCCGGGGCTTGAGCATATTGATCTCTCTGTGCAGGAGGGCTCAGTTGTTTTGGTTGGTTTAATAGTCAGCAGTGGTTTAAGGGGTAGAGAACCTGTCATGGGTCTTGCTTTAGAGGCAAAGGAAGAGGCCATGTAGAGGAAGAATGAACTAGAACAGCCTCTTGAGAATTTGAGTTTAGCTGGGAGGTTGTTCTAGGCTGACCCTTGTGATAGAGCTGTAACTGATCCAGTAAGTTCCAGCCTTGAATAGACCTTTCTAAAACAAGGGCTTGTTATCGAGGGACTGTTGACCATTCTAATTCAGTCATCTTCATGGGAAGGAGATTTGGAAGGTGAGGATGTACTGAGAGAGTGACTGGATGTCGTGCCATGCGTGGTAGAGATCTGGCAGGAGGTTCATCTAGAACCAGAACTATATGCCTTTCTTACCCCGATTTCCTCCTGTGTCCTTCACTGGACGATCAGAGAAAGACAGTGCCATTCTTACCAGTGCTTTGCTCTACCAGCCCTTGGTCTGGAGGTTCTCTTTGCATCACTCCTTGTAGGACCCGAGAAGGAAGGGGAATGACCATGCTGTGCGGCTTCCGTGCGGAGCCACACTGGCTTGGAGCAGGGGAAGGAGTCAGGGACGGGAAGGAGAGGGCGTTCTCACATTCTCACTTTCTCTTCTAGCCGGTTTACAAACTGACCCAGAGGCAGGTAAACATTACAGTACAGAAGAAGGTGAGTCAGTGGTGGGAGAGACTCACTAAGCAGGAGAAGCGCCCACTGTTTTTGGCCCCTGACTTTGATCGCTGGCTGGACGAGTCTGATGCAGAAATGGAGCTCAGAGCCAAGGTTAGTAAGGACCGTAGGATCGAGACAAATCGTAAGGAACACAACTTATTTGGAAGTTATTTGGGCCACCTCAGGTACCTATCTGGGTCTGATAAAATGAGGACAAAATTGCAAATTCAGTTAAAGACCTGGAAACATGTTTTTTTGTTTGTTTTTAAGATTTTATTTACTTATTTGATAGAGAGTGTGTGCGTGAGTGAGAGGGCATGTGCAGGGGGAGGGGCAGAGGGAGATAGAGGGAGAAGCGGACTCCCCACTGAGCGGAGAGCCTGATGTGGGACTTGACCCCAGGACCCTGGGATCATGACCTGAGCTGAAGGCAGACGCTTAACCGTTTGAGCCACCCAGGCATCCCTGGAAACATGATTTTACAGAAGTACTGGTCATATGTTTTGTAGACTGTCCCTCAACTGGGGTTTGTTGGATGTTTTTCTCATGATTTAGAGAGGGTGATGGGATTTCGGGGAGGAGGACCACTGAGGTTTCATTCTTGCTGTGTCACATCAAGGGTATATACTGTCAGCATGGCTTATCACTGTTGATACTAATCTTGATCATCTGGCTGAGGCGTATTTATCCGGTTTCTCCATTGTAATGTTACTCCGCCCCCTTTCTTAACTGTGTACTTTTTGGACGGAAGTCACTATGTCTAGCTCATGCTTAAGGAGTGGGGAGTTACGCTTCCCATCCTTACTGCGGAGTATCTACGTACTTTATTTGGAATTCTTCTGTATGGGAGATTTGTCTGTTCTCTTCCATGTATTTATTCAGTCATTTATTTATATCTGTATGGACTGATGAATGTTTGTTTTATAGTTTGGTTTATAACCCAATACTATGTGATTTGTATGTTATTTATTTTGTTGTTCATGTTGTCCCAGCTTTGGCCATCGGAAGCTCTTTCAGTTGGCTCTTGTGTCCTTTTGACAAAGCTCTGTCATTGTGGGGCTTTTTTTTTTTTTTCTTTTGGACATCCTTAATTTCTGGCATTATAAGCTGCTCCAGGCTTATCTTATGTATTCCCTGCTCCAGCCCTAGAGTCAGCCATTCTTCAAGGAGCTCTGTTCTTTTTATTGGGGAATAGTAATGGAAACCAAGATCTGGGCTCTAGATATTGCTTCTAGATCCTCTCAGGTGACACAATGAGGAACTATATGTGTGCAGACTAGCCCATTCATATACTGCCCATACCTATAAATATTTCTGTCTGTAACCATCTATATCTATGTTGACCTAATGTGAGTTCTTACTGATGTTGGAGACATGATTTTAGCTTCTGGAAAAACTATACTAAAAATCTACAAGTCTTAAAAAAAAAATAAAACAGCGATCTATTTCCCGCCCTAAAATTCTGTTTTGTTTCTATGACTGTGACACATCTTCTGGGGGTCTTTTCCAGCTCCAAGATTCTAAGACTCTCCACTTTGTAGTTTGGAAGCCAGCTGATTGGTTGAATTCTGTGAGCACAGGATGAGCATCCTGTGGTGCTGGTGCTACCCAGTAAGGAGGAGTCAGGCTGAGGATGTCAGGCCCGAGCTAGGACGTTTGCTCCGGTGAAGCGTGAACACAGTTGGAGGAGGTGGCTTTGAGGGATTCAGATCACTTATTCAGCATGTGGACTTTTGCAAGCATCTGGGAATTCTAACCTGTGTTCTTGGAAAACTTCTGTCCAAATTCTAGGAAGAAGAACGCCTAAATAAACTAAGAATTGAAAGCCAAGGCTCCCCTGAAAGTAAGTTGCCCTGCTGCTTCTTTTTTTTTTTTTTTTTTTAAGATTTTATTTATTTATTCATGAGAGACAGAGAGAGAGAGAGAGAAGCAGAGGGAGAAGCAGGCTCCCAAGGAGCAGGGAGCCCGATGCGGGACTCGATCCCAGGGCCCTGGGATCATGACCTGAGCCGAAGGCAGACGCTTAACCGTCTGAGCCACCCAGGTGCCCTGCCCTGCTGCTTCTGTGGTAGCTACCAGTTAACTGACGATAGAGATGGGGGTATGGAGGGGTGCAATGCGGTAGGAGAGCTAAAGTGGTGTGTGTGAGGTGATGAGGACCCCTTCATGTGCAGGGCTTACTCTGTGCACACCCACATCAGAAGCCTTCCTTTTAATGTTTCCCTTCTGTTTGGAGCCTAACATTACCTGAGGGCACCAAAGCCGGTCTAGCAGAAGGGAAGAACCATAGTTTCCTGGACTGGCCCAATGTCAGTGGCTGCAGGCCCTGCCTAGACACGTGGAAACACCACGTCGGTCCAAGGCTACACTTCCTCCAGCCTGGTGTTTTTCTCCCAGATAAGCGTGGCTCTCAACCTCAGAAACTCTATTCTGTTTCTCTCCGTCCAACTGCTCAGAAGCAAGAAGTTCTGTGAGTGTATTGTGTTCTGGGCGACGCAGATGAGATGCAGCAGGCGTTCACTTCCTGCTGGGGGGAAGCATCGTAGCAGGCCCTGGAGGGGTAGAGCCTGTGACTTCATCAGAGCACCTGCTCTCTCAGAGCATCCGTTCCAGGGGGCGGACCACGAAAGACTGTATAAAATGCAGGCAGAAAAGCAAAATAAAATCAAGGTTTCTCGTGTGTCCATGTATTTTCAAGTTTTAGGGACACTTATGTGGCATGCCGTAAGTAAGGAAGGGGAAAGTTTTAGAGTGGCTGTTTTCAAACTACGTCCCGTGGTCCCCAGGGGTTCCCAGGGATGCTTTGGAGGGACAGGCCAAGCAAGCGGGTCCACTTCAACCGGAGAAGTTCTGCTTGTGTTTTATGTGTTAGGTTCTGAACAAAGTTCGTTTTGAGGAGGAGGTTTCATTGCTTTAGAAAAAGATTTGAATAACCACTGATGTAGAGGAATACTCCTTTAGAAAAACAAAGAAGGGGAGAAGTTAGTGGAGGCAAAGAATAAAGATTTGAGATTAAGATTAATTTTGAGCTTGAAAATTATTTGAAATTTAAGTTAATTTTGGAGGGCGGTTTAGAGGGAGAAACTTCAAAAACGTAAAAATTCTTATATATGGATTTTTAGGACATTAGATAATGCTTTTACTGTTTTATCTCAGTTCATGAAGTTTCCTAATGAAATAAGTTCTTGAGGATGGCGAAATCTAATACATTTTTGTGGTTTTGAAGAAAAAATTTTAGTTCAGTGTTGCGAAAAGTCTGACTCTTTTGACTCCTTAGGACTAGGTTGCTTTTGATTGACCACCCTGTTTAGCTTGATTATTTGAGCATCCGCCGAGGGTTACATGCAGAATATCTGTTGCCTTGGAATAAATATGGAGCAGCAAGATCTGAGCTCCATAGCTCTTCTCTTGAGAATTATCCTTTCCTTTGCCCCACTCCTTTGACTCAACCATGACTCTAAGCTCCTTACTCCTTCCTTAACTCTGTAATTGGCTGTGTCTTCACAAGACTTAGGCTGCAGACAAAATTAACAATTCCTTATCCTCCTGCCTCTCACGCTGTACTTTTCCTTCTTCAGTTGTGTCCTCATTCTGCCCATCTCTTCCAAAGTACAGGGCAGGCACCATGTCATCTCTGCAGACTTGCCTGCTTCCCACTTCCCCAGCCGAGTGTCGTTTTCTCACCTTGAGGGTTTCCCAAGATGCTACCTGTTACTCTCTCTTGTATTACGGCTTTCAGATTGTAAATTCTTTGAGGGTGACATCAAGTCTTGACATCTTGGAATCCCACTAGTGCCCCTCAGTACCTCGCACTTGTGGGTGTTCAGTTGATTCTTGGTTAGATGCATATATGATCAAATATCAAAATTCTTTTTTTGTGTGTGTTTCTATTTCTTTGAGCTAGTTTGACCTACATGACCTTAAAAAATTGTGGGAAAGAAGAAACTGTAGATTATATGAAAATGACAAGAGTAGGAGTGGAGTGTAGCTTTATTTCCCTTCTTTAATGCCTCCTAAGATGGTCAGTCATTCTTTGCCAGAAGTAATTTTTCTCCTTGGATTTATTATGTCTGTACACTTATCCCTCAAGGCTGTGAGAGGAAAGACTGCTAAAGAAATATCTTGGAGTGCATTGTCCATAATTTCACCTTACCCCTTTCTCTTTGGGCCTAGAAGCCCAGGCTGATGCAGATTTGGGCCAGATATCTGTTTGGGAACTCAGGGCACCCAATGGGAGAGAGGGGTTGAAGTCAACCAGGTCTGTCCTCCACCCCTCTGTTGCAGCTCTGCTTGTAACAGTTTCCTGTCTCGTTTTGCTTTTCAGCTCTTACAAGCTTGAAGAAAGGATACCTGTTCATGTATAATCTCGTGCAGTTCTTGGGATTCTCCTGGATCTTTGTCAACATGACTGTGCGGTTCTTTATTTTGGGAAAAGGCAAGCACAAAATTTCAACACTAACCTTTCTTTCTTTCTTTTTTTTTAAAGATTTTTTATTTATTTGACAGAGAGAGCAGGAGAGCACAAGCAGGGGGAGCAGCAGAGGGAGAGGGAAAAGCAGGTTCCCTGCTGAACAGAGAGCATGATGCAGGGCTCAGTCCCAGGCCCCTGGGACCATGACCTGAGCCTAAGGCAGATGCTTAACCGACTGAGCCACCCAGGCGCCCCAACACTAATGTTCTTTTGTCAGTAGTTTGGCTTACTACCCACCAAAGGTGTCAGCAGTACCCTGCCTTTGGTATTAATAATAACCCCCCACGTTTGTGTAGCAGTCACGCCTTTCATTGTACGTCCGTGTCTCTGAGTTCCCTGGGCCTTGTGAAACAAGCAGGCTGGAGAGTGTGTCCATTTAACAGGTGAGGAGACAGGCTTAGAACTGGTCCACGTTCACACGGCTGGCCAGAGGCCCACCGTGGGCTTGCATTCCTTTCTCTGCTCACTACATGGAGTTCATTTGTAACCAGATAAACTTGCGTGGTACTTTCAGTGCCAGAGTTAATGCAGATCCAAAAGGGATCGCGCCCTTTGGGAGCCTAAGTAGATGGACTCAAATGGACTATTCCAAAACTGAATGAAAAGACTATCATAAAGATATTTGTTCTTGATAAATTAATTTGTGTGTTTTTTAAAACTAATTTGTATATTTAACAGAATTCTGGCAAAAAGTAAATGACAATGGAAAATTTTTTAGAATGTGTGCTGAAGTATTCTGAACATAATACATACATACATAACACGTACATACTTGTATTATGAACAATAAATAGGTAATAAAATTTGGGGGAAGAAAGGGTAATGGGAGAGCACTTTCTCTGATATGAAAGAATGATATTTCAAGAATGATAATTAAATAATATAGCATTAGTATAAGAAGAGAATATCAATAGAGCAAATTAGGTGGTCCAGAAATAGCTCTTACATTATATATATTATATATAACATATATATAATATACATAATATATAAATCTATCTATCTCCCAATTATATATACAATATAAAAGGAATCATGAATCAGTGGAACGGGAAATATCCAATACTTTTTTATTGGATGGGAATTCTAACAGTGTTTCCAGGGAAAATTGGTTAGGTTTGGGTGCATGAGGAAGGCAAGGAATCTCTTTGACTCTTTTCCTCACACTGTGTACAAAAATAAATTCCCCCAAAGGATTTAAGATCCTATATCAGAAATTTAAAACATAACAAGATACAAGTAAATGTTTATAAAAATCTCATGTGGAAGGTTCGGACTTTCTAAGCTTAAAAGAGAAGAAACCATAAAGAATAAGGTCAATATATTTGACTACATAAAGTATCTAAATTCCTGTGTATTTAAAAATATCCCAGCTAAGACAACACTCAAGATTAAGAGTATATTGAGGTTAGTAGCATGGGGATGGAGGGTTGGTGGAAAATTGCAACAAATACTAACAGGGGTTGATTACACATAAAGAATTGGTTACAAATTGATCTAAAAACATAGAGACTCCATGGAATAGATAAATAAACAGAAGTCATGTGCAGGCAGTTCCTAAGAGGTAGTAAAACCAATTATATACAGAAAAAATGTTTAACTCAATAATGATGAAGAAAATAAAAATATGGTTTTTGTCTGTCAGTTTTGCAAAGTTAAAAAAAGATACCTATTTCAAGAGGACATATGCTAAAGTAGACACACCAGTGGCTACTGGGAGGGTGTATGAGCACAATAATTCTTGGAAAATCATTTGGCAAAGCTCATCAAGACACCTAACTGTTCATATTCTTGAACCTGGTTATTTAACTTCTGGAAGTATGTTCTAAAGAAATCACTGAAACTACCAAAAAAGCTTTTTCAAAAGGTACACATTGTGGCATCATTTATATTAGTGACAAGTTAGAAGCTACCTAGATGCCCATCAACGAGGGCTTACTTTAGAATATTCGTTCAGTGGAATGTTGTGAAGCAAATATAAAGTATTTAAAGAGTTTATAGTAACATGGAGAAATACTTATGATAGGCTAAAAAAGTAAGATAAATTTGTTCTTCCAGTTTCATCACATCATATAAAATGGGGAAAAAACCGAGCCAATACATGCAAAAGATCGGAAGGAATGCACCATTTGAAAATGGTTTGATGTGGATAATTTAAAAATTTGTCCTTATTTTGTACAAGAAATAGGAAAAATATAAGTATAATGGAAAATATAAGCTCTATTTTGAAAAAGGAAAAAATCCTATAGTCTATTTTATTTTTTAGTCCTAAATTTTCCCATCTGAGGTTTGTAGTAGGTGAATTGCCTTTAGCTCTAAAGTCACTTCAAAGAAGTGCATGCTGTTTGTCCAGCCTTCTTAACACCTTAGAATTCTGCAAAGCACAGCAGCAGGCTAGTAAAGAACTTTCCAAATGCCTAGTGTCTTAGAGTCTCATGTGACCAAAGGTCTACAGATGAGTTACTTGAAAAAAGGCAAGTCTCAGACCTGGGTTTTTCTTACTGTGGATTGATCACAAGTCCCATGGAATCAATAGGGACACGCAAGTACCTAATCATTTAATTTAACATCGTTGGATTCTCCGTGTTCCTGTGCAAGCCTGCAAGCCATTAGGTGATCTAGTCCAAAAGCTCCTAAGTTATCTGGTTCATGTGTTTAAGCTGCTTGGATTTGTCATTTCTATTTTGGCTCTCAACCTCTTACTAACCATCTTCTGGAATGGAGCTGCTGGCTTAATTCTTCCCTTATCAGGCGTCAGAAACGGGGTAAGGACCTGGTGCCCGGCACCCAGTTTGCCCTTTGCAATTTTCTCCTTTTGAATGAAGGGTGTTGGTAAATGGCAAATCCCCACCTGTGCTTGGTTTTTCATGTAAACATGTACTTGCTAAACTTTTTATGCTAAGGAAACACTAGCAAACTCTTGGGCTTATGGAGAAATTCTTGAGCTTACCTAGCTCTCTATTAAGGAATACTCTTTTTAAAAAATAAAATTAAAAATTTTTTTCTAATTATAAAAACACGTTAATCACAGAAAAATCAGAAAATAAAGACTTAAATAAAACAAAAGACTCTACCGTAATCCCATCTATGAGAGCAACAGATCCTCGGCACCTTGGTGTATGTATATCCTTCCAATCGACTAGACTTCCTTAGGAACAACGGACAATTACTGATAAGGAATTGTGAGATTAATGGCAAATTGTTTTTAAGGATTTTCTTTTTTTTTTTTTTTTAAGATTTTATTTATTTGCGAGAGAGAGAATGAGAGACAGAGAGCATGAGAGGGGGGAGGGTCAGAGGGAGAAGCAGACTCCCCGCCGAGCAGGGAGCCCGATGCGGGACTCGATCCCGGGACTCCAGGATCATGACCTGAGCCGAAGGCAGTCGCCCAACCAACTGAGCCACCCAGGCGCCCTCTTTTTAAGGATTTTCATGTATCCTGCCCCAAAGGGTATACTGTATTATACTACCACTATTAGTAGTATCCCACATCCCATTAACATGAGTGCCTTTCATTACTTAAAATGGTTCTTTGTTTTCAAATCATAAAAGTAAATGTGCTGATTTAAGCCAGTTTGGAAAGTGGGGGAAACCAGGGTGGTGGAGGTGTAGGGGGAGAGAAGGGGAGGTGAATAAGTCATTGTCCATCACTATTAATATAGCCGTACAGGGGCGCCTGGGTGGCTCAGACGGTTAAGCGTCTGCCATCGGCTCGGGTTGTGGTCCCAGGGTCCTGGGATCGAGCCCCGCGTCGGGCTCCCTGCTCGGCGGGAAGCCTGCTTCTCCCTCTCCCACTCCCCCTGCTTGTGTTCCCTCTCTAGCTGTCTCTCTCTCTCTGTCAAATAAATAAAATCTTAAAAAAAAAAAATATAGCCGTACATTGGGGCACCTGGGTGGCTCAGTCGGTTAAGCATCTGCCTTTGGCTTGGGTCGTGATCCCAGGAGTCTGGGATCAAGCCTGATGTTGGGCTACCTGCTCAGCTGGGAGCCTATCTCTCCCTCTCCTCCCTGCTCATGTTCACTCTTGCTATCTCTGTCTCTCACAAATAAATAAAATCTGTAAAAAAAAAAAAAAAATATATATATATATATATATAGCTGTACATTTCCTTTTAGTTTTTCTCCTATACTTAAACATTGTAATCCTACTGTGTACACCATTTTCTGTCTTGTTTTAAAAACAAAATTAAAAGAATTTTAATGTTACTAAAATCCTTTGTAACTGTCATATTAGAAATCGGATTTCGGGCGCCTGGGTGGCTCAGTTGGTTAGGCGACTGCCTTTGGCTCAGGTCATGATCCTGGAGTCCCGGGATCGAGTCCCGCATCGAGTCCCGGGATCGAGTCCCGGATCGAGTCCCGCATCGAGTCCCGCATCGGGCTCCCTGCTCGGCAGGGAGCCTGCTTCTCCCTCTGACCCTCCCCCCTCTCATGTGCTCTCTGTCTCTCTCTCTCAAATAAATAAATAAAATCTTTAAAAAAAAAAAATAGAAATCGGATTTCTATGCCTGAATTGAAACAAGGATGTAAAATCAGAGCAAAGCCACAAGATCTAATTTTTGTTCACCATGTGCCAAATCTTTTTTTTTTTTTAAGATTTTATTTATTTATTTGAGAGAGAGAGAATGAGAGACAGAGAGCATGAGAGGGAGGAAGGTCAGAGGGAGAAGCAGACTCCCTGCCAAGCAGGGAGCCCGATGCGGGACTTGATCCCGAGACTCCAGGATCATGACCTGAGCCGAAGGCAGTCGCTTAACCAACTGAGCCACCCAGGCGCCCTGACCAAGTGCCAAATCTTAAGTCACAGCTTTGTGTTTTCCAAATGGGAGGTCCTCATTTTTCAAAGATTTATCCAGGAGAAACGCCACCTTAAAGTGAATCCCCTTAAAACGGACACCAGAATTTCATTGTAAATGGTGACAAAAGATTTGGTTGGGATTTTGTCTTGAAAAGGGAGATTTAAAGTTATGAGAATAAGTTTTTTTAACTTATATGTACCAAAATTTAAATTGTAAATGTAAGTTTGCATTAATTCTTCTGAGAAAAGAATTAGTCCAATTTTGAACTAAATTACTGGTGGAATTTTTCTGGCAAAATTACATAATAGTACTATATACCATTCTTCATTTCACATTTGACTTTGTAGCAGGATTATAAAGTGGATTATTTCTGCAAAAATATTAGAGGGTTTCTTTAAGTTTTTATTGCAAGGGCCTCTTATTCAACTGATGTTTATTTTTTATTTTTTTTAAAGATTTTTATTTATTTGAGAGAGAGAGCGAGCATAAGTAGGGGGAGCAGCAGAGGCAGAGGGAGAAGCAGGCTGCCTGCTGAGCAAGAAGCCCGCTGCGGGACTCGATCCCAGGACCCTGGGATCATGGCCTGAGCCGAAGGCAGATGCTTAACCGACTGAGCCACCCAGGCGTCCCTTTACTTTGCCTTTTAAAATGAGGACATACATAACCAGTAGAGTTTCCTATTCAAGACCTCACAGGCCTGTTCCCCTCCAGCTTAGTTTGGATAGTAAATTTGAATCTGGGTGGCTCATTAGACTTTTCCTTAAATTCCTTTCATGCAAGTAGGTACATAGTTTGAGAAATAATTCTCTTGGAATTTGCCGTTCGATTTACCCTTAATGTGTATTTGTCCCATAGAGTCCTTCCATGACACATTCCACACCCTGGCCGACATGATGTATTTCTGCCAGATGCTGTCAGTTGTGGAAACCATCAACGCGGCAATTGGTGTCACTAAGTCACCAGTGACGCCTTCTCTTATCCAGGTACTGAACAGTTGACCTCAGATCTCAGTAGTTAGTAGGTACGCCACAATTTGCTGGGAAGTCACAATGAGTAAGAATCTCTCTTTGCACGGGAATAGCATCATTTTCTCTGAAAAAGGAAAACTTGAAGCCCAGGGATATTTTCCAAAGTAGACTTTTGCCATTTCAGGTCTGGTTGGTTTGTGTATAGTATCTTCATGAAATCACAACGTTATAAAAAGGGCTTTAAAACCGGGGAAACTTGATTCTCAAGCAGGAGCAGAAAAACTTACCCACAATCTTCTTATGTAAAGATGTGCTTGGTCTCCTCCCAACGTGGGTAGGTGAAGGCGATGCAATCCTAGGAGCTCTTTTCACTTCGGACTTTCTTCCATATATGAAGGGGACTCTTTTGACTGGTGTGGGGATACCCCCCTCCCTTGATACATCTATGTTGTTTCCTAATATTTGGAAGATTGCTATCAGGAACGGGTCATCAAAGTCTTTTAACTTCCTTGCCCTATTTTCTAACTGTGTGATTATATACTATTAAACCCCCCCACTCCCCACCCAGACTCAGGGGGCAACAGGTGATTGCTTTAGTTTGGTCTCTTCTGGAGTTCTGATAGTTCTACCCTTTTCTGGTATACCAGCCCTGGCATTCTGATAGTATCAGTTGTATGGTAAAGAGTGTTAATATAATAGCCTTGTTACTCCTGGGTTTTCTGTTCTTGGAGAGAGGCTGTTTTGTTCAGTCTAAAAAATAAGTGGATAGTGAGGGGCCCACTAATGTGGAATAATACTTTTTGTATGTCAAGGACTAGCACAGATAAGCATGAGACTAGAATTTCTAGGGTATGATGGAAGGGAGGGGTTCAGTATTCTCACATTGCTCGGCTCCAGGGAGTGCCATTCATGGAGAATGCAGTGTGAGCGGAGCCTCGTGGAGTCGGGCATGCGACTGCAGCTCGGAAGCATAACAAGGAGTAAGAAACAAGTCACAGAATAAAAATAAGTTGTATTTCAGAAAGTTTAAAAACAGGCAAAGTGCAACAGTATACTATTTAGAAATAGGTACATAAGCAGGAAGCCTATAAAGAGAAGCAATGGAATAGTTAACACAAGATAGTTGTGTTAATGGTCTGGTTAAGAACAGACCATTACCAGTGGGCGGCTGCCAGACTGGTAATGGTCTGGTTCTTAACTTGGGTTATGCAGACACAAATGTTCATTCGGCAGTACTCTTCACGCTGTGTTTGAATGTGTGTGTTTTTGAAAATACACTATTTGTGATGATCTATTTACACACATATACACAGTCTATTCAGAAAGACTGGTTTGGGTAACCTTAACTTGTTCCAAAACTGGAACAGAGGTTTAAACTTGCTGAGCTCAGTCTTTTAAGATTTTATTATTTTTAAATTTTTTAAAGTAACCTCTACCCACAATGTGGGGCTTGAACTCACGACCCCGACACCAAGACTTGCAGGCTCCACTGACTGAGGCAGCCAGGTGCCCCTCAGTCTTTTTCTATTTACCCTGAATTTAGTGGGGCTAGGTTTCAGGTAACACATTTATATAGTTTTTGTAGAATATATTTTTAAACTTTTCCCTCTCTTTTGGGTTCTTTTAATAGCTTTGTGGAAGAAATTTCATTTTGTTTATCATCTTTGGCACCATGGAAGAAATGCAAAACAAAGCTGTGGTTTTCTTTGTGTTTTATTCGTGGAGCGCAATTGAAATTTTCAGGTGGGTAGAAATGCCAGCATGGTGGTTTGAACGCTTCTCCTTTCTCTGGAGCAGCTCTCTTCTGGAGGGAGTTTTACTCAAAGTCTCATTTGGTTTGAGATTAAGGTTCCCTGTGTGGAGAGCTCTAGCTGCATCTGTGTGCTCTGCAAAGGAGGCATGTTTTTTTAAAGCAGTCATTGGATCATAGTATCAGCCTGGGCACTAGGGAGCAGAGGGAGTCGAGAGGTGCAGAGAAGTGAAAAGACCCATCTTACCCTTCAGGATTTTGCTGTCTTGTCGGAAAGAGGACTCAACTGCATGGAAAAATTTTGAAAGGAGAAGAAACATGGGATTGAAGGAGTAGTCAGGCTGGATGGAACTTGTGAAGACCAACCTTATAGAAGGAATGATAGAAATAAATCTTCTACAAGATTACTCAAGTTTGAATCAACCTCTTATCTGATTCTGCCATTCTCAGTTGTCAGTAGAAGAAATATCTTAAAAAAAAAAGATCCAATTAAAGTAGAGGTACTCTTCTCTACCAGACCTAACATATTCCACTTCTTTTTTGGTCAGGTGGAGCAGTGGTTTTGCAGATTGACTCCTCAGCTCTAGGTCTGGGGATATTTTGGCAAAGTTAATAGCTGAAAGGGAGAAGAGACAGTAGCAGTCCTAGGTTGTGTCTGAACTGTGGTCTGAATCCCATAGTATATTAATACAAAGGTGAAAGAGATTATAATTACTTAATGTTAACTCTGGGAAGAAAAAATTCTTTTTTGTGTTACCTCTTTATTTAAATAGAGTATATCTGATTTTAGATTAGGGGTCTTTTGTATACTTTAATTTTGGAGTTTGTTTTGTTTTTGAGAGAGAGGGAGAGAGAGCAGGGGAAGTGCACAGAGAGAGAATCTTAAGCAGGCTCCATGCCCAGCATGGAGCCCAATGCAGGGCTTGATCTCATGACCCTGAGATCATGACCTGAGCTGAAATCAAGAGTCAGACACTTAACTGAGCCATCCAGGCGCCCTGTTTACTTTGATAACATTCACTTATCTGGAGATAAATTGTCAAGGTGTCTGTCATCCTTACCTACTTAGAACATAGATCAGAACTAGTAATAAAGGCAAAAAGCTTTTGAGCATTCATTCCATAAACTGAACTATTCCAAAGAGGGTTCCTATAGGACCTAAACTTAGTCTACCATCAAAGAGAGTTCACATCCATTGAAAATTGGGGGAAGAATGTGATGGGAGTTTGTGGGTAGATAGCCCAGGATTATCATTCTGTTCTGAAGAAGCCATGTGTGGCCAATTGTGAAATTCTATTTCTTGAATGATGTTCTAGAGCTGCATTCAGGACCTGAAGTGGCTTTTCACATCCGAATTCCTTATTTCCAATAGGTACCCCTTCTACATGCTTTCCTGCATTGACATGGATTGGAAGGTGCTCACATGGCTTCGTTACACTGTGTGGATTCCCTTTTATCCTCTGGGATGTTTGGCAGAAGGTACTTTCAAGAACACTAGGTTTTACAAGCTTAGTTCCAAAGGATAGCTAAGCTGATAGGCCATGGCTTGCTTCCTTCCTCTGCCAGCCTTAGTCTGATACACAGGTGTTAGACTTTTTAAGACTTTCTTTCTAGTGGCCTCCTTCCATAATACTCCTGGTACCCAGACTATTCCAGGGAAGTAGCTCGTTTTTGTGAGGTTTGGAAGCTGTGCGTTCATGTGTTGCATGCTTCCTATTTATATGGTATTTAGAATTTTTCCAAAGCAGGTTCATATTAATGACTTCATTTAATTTTGACAGACACCTAGTGAGTGAGTCAGGTAGGGAGTTTTCTCCCCATTTTATAGAATAGAGAACTAAAGCTCAGTGCTATCAAGATGAATGTTCCTCATTCATCTTGTTGTCAGCTTGGAGGCTCATCGCTTATGAAAACTAGGGGGAGAACTAGAATAGGCATGAGCCCTATGTACTAAGGGGAAGGAACCATTTTCTGCACACCCAGAAGTGACACTGTGGGGGGTAGAAGCTTCTCTCACTGGTTGGCACTGTATTTCATATGCTTCTGACAGGTTCTTGTTTCTGCTTTTAGCTGTCTCAGTGATCCAGTCCATTCCAGTATTCAACGAAACAGGAAGATTCAGTTTCACGTTGCCATATCCAGTGAAAATCAAAGTTAGATTTTCCTTTTTTCTTCAGATTTATCTTATAATATTATTTTTAGGTAAGTATTGGCTCTGTAATAGACTTTTTCCTGTCACTTCTTAGAGGGTAGAGTTAAATGATTCAAAGCTTTCAAAGCCTTTATTAGGATTTTTATTTCCAGAAGAGTAGTATAGAGTTAGAGAAACATTATTTTATACAACAGGCCCATGAGGAGAAAATGCTATGTATTTCTTCCAAATCACCAGTGGTTGAGTTGTCTTCTTGGTATGCTCTTGGGTCACTGGGAATTCACCATATTTCATGTTTAAAACAATATAGAAGAAGCTCTTTTAAAGTAGAATAAGAAGCACATTTTAATTTTACTAATTTCATTGATACATTCCTTATCCAAAGTTTACAGAAGTGGTAATACCACTGACAGCAAGGAAGGAAGAAGGCAATCAAGGCCTCTGAGCAGCCAAGAGATGTCATAAAGCTTCTACCTAATAACAGGAAAGCCCCGCCCCGCCCCACTACTGTAAAACCAGCTTCTATATTAATTTATATAAAAATCACAAATCTTTGCCTTAATTCATAAAAACTAAGAACTAGAAGAAGTAAACCTAATTATTGCAAATAAAGCCTCCCTAATCATAAGGACTGTTTAGATAAAGTTCTAATGCATTTTTAAAAAAAGATTTTATTTATTTGGCAGAGAGAGAAAGTGAGCAAGCACAAGCAGGGGGAGCAGCAGAGGGAGAGGGAGAAGCAGGCTTGCCCGCTGAGCAGAGAGTCTGATGTGGGGCTCGGTCCCAGGCCCCTGGGATCATGACCTGAGCCGAAGGCAGATGCTTCACCAACTGAGCCACCCAGGCGTCCTTAGTTCTTTTTTTTTTTTTTTTTAAGATTTTATTTATTTTTATTTGAGAGAGAGAGAATGAGAGAGAGGGAGTACATGAGAGGGGGGAGGGTCAGAGGGAGAAGCAGACTCCCTGCCGAGCAGGGAGCCCGATGCGGGACTCGATCCAGGGACTCCAGGATCATGACCTGAGCCGAAGGCAGTCGCTTAACCAACTGAGCCACCCAGGCGCCCTCAGGCGTCCTTAGTTCTAATGCATTTTAATATAATTTATATATTTCTCTCTGTTTTAGTTCACAATGATCTTCAGGTAGCCCTAAATAAGTATGGCTGGCTGGTCTTCTAGCAACAGGATATGACAGCATATAGTGTATTAGGAGCTTAAGACAACAAATGTTTATTACTCACATGGCTTCTGAGGGTCAGAAAGCAGCCTAGCTGGGTGGCTCAGAGTCCCTCCTGAGGTAGTCAGGCTGTCAGCCCGGTGGGGGCTGCAGTTTCTGCAGTCTTGACCTAGGTTGGAGGATCTGCTCCAAGCTCACGTAACTGTGAACAGGAGGCTTCAGTTTCTTGCCACAGTTCTTTTCCATGTGGCTGCTCGGGACACGGCTTCCCCCAGAGCAAGTGGTGTGAGAGCCAGAAGCCACACTGCTTTTTTGCCTTTAAAAAAAATGTATCTACAGGGACGTCTGGGTGGCTCCGTCGGTTAAGCGTCTGCCTTTGGCTCAGGTCATGATCCTGGGGTCCTGCGATCGAGCCCCAGGTTGGGCTCCTTGCTCAGTGGGGAGCCTGCTTCTCCCTCTGCCTGGAGCGCCCCCTGCATATGCTCTTCCTCTCTCTGACAAATAAATAGCATCTTTTAAAAAAGTATCTATTTTTTATAGAAATATATTTGACATGTAACATTGTGTACATTTAATGTATACACCATGTTGATTTGACTCATTTATATATTGTAATATGAGTACCATTGTAGATACGACTCACACCTTTATCATGTCCCCACTGCCTTTTATCACCTAATCTCAGAAGTGACATACCATCACTTTTGCTGTATTGTTGGTTACACAGACCAACCTGATACAGTATGGGAGGGGATACACAAGGGTATGAGATACCAGGAGGTAGGATCATTGGGGGCCATCTGGGAGGCTAGCTACCCCAGTGAGAGGAAGACCACAAAAAGTAAATGCAAGAAGCCAGAAAGCTCAGTTCATGTAGCACTGGGGGACAAGAGCCCTGCACCCTTAGGAGCCACTCAGGGTAGCAGTGCATGGCAGAAGCACAGTTAAATATTACACATCATGGGCATAGATCATTTGCCAAAGGTTTTTTGGGTTTTTTTTTGGGTCAAAGGTTTCATCCAATTTCTCCTTTCCTATTTCAGAAAGGCTATAATTTCTTTCAGATAGCTTTCTAACCAAAATATGTTAAAATGTTTGGCCCTTGAAGGGAATATGCTTCAATTTGGAAAATGCACTCATTAAGAACTCAGTAAGAGTTCTTTACCTCTGTTACTGGATAAACCTAGTGTTACTGCAACCAGGCTCCATGAGGTGTGCATACTGAATGTGTTAAAGAGGAATAAGTATTGGAAAGACCCTTACTAGACAAGTTAGAAGGGCAGAAGTATTTTAATGTGCATTAACCCTACTGGCTTTTCCTTGTGTTATGTTGTTGTACACTCTAATTTACAAAGTTTTATACTCCTATTTAGTTTGCCTATAATGTAGTTGTTCTAATTCTTTAGAATGAAATCTTAAATTTGTGTAATTTAGAAGCAGTACTACACCCAGTTACGTTTGCATATAGATCAAAGTGCTTTTGTAAACATACATTCTCTCAATGAAAATAGGTGTTTTTAACCTTGTACAATGAGGAAACTGAGGTGAGGCTAAGGCACAGAACTAGTTAGTGGTCAAGTAGGATTGAACGTTTTTTCTGACGCTGAAAATCCTGCATTTTCTAATTTACTTCCTAGAAAAGTGTTTCATACCTTTTAGACTATTGCTTAATACATGTTACTGTGTAGCCTTGAATTAAAAATTGGGTTGTTTTTATACTTTAGATTTATAGATTTCATTTTATGTAAATCCTCCCTTGAAAGAACAAAGGAAAACTGAACTCTAGTTAATGAAATGTTTAGGGGTGAAGTATACTGATGTCTGCAGCTTACAGTGAAATGCATCAAAAATGAGATGGGAATGAGCAGGTGACAAAGTGAATATAATAAAAAGTTAAAGTTTAGATCTTAAGTGTTGGTTCACTGTACAGTATTTTACTCTTTTTGTATGTTTGAAAATTTTCACATTAGAATATGGGAGAAAATCAAACAGTAAACCCACCGGGAAAAAAGCAAGTGGTGTCTTGTGCATCGATGAGAACTTGGTCAGAGTTGTGATTCCCCAGCGCCCTGCAGGAAGCAGAGTGCCGTGGGCGAGGATAAGCAGCCAGCTAGAGACTGTCCCTGCCCCAAGAGCTTCTGGTTAGGAACAAAGACAAAGATTGCCTTTTCTCATTGCCTTTTTCTTTTTCAGGGTTGTACGTAAATTTCCGTCACCTTTATAAACAGCGCAGGCGGCGCTATGGACAAAAAAAGAAAAAGGTCCACTAAAAAGATTTAGATGACATCTTGCCAGTTTGAGCCTAATCTATAATTCTTACAGTTTTACCTTCTTGTACTGATGTAAAAGTTTTTTTTAAAGTTAAATGATTAAATTCTCAGGCTATATTCCCTTTCCCCCCAGTAACATTCCTGAATTTACAGAATTATCTTAGCGTAGTACTTGCATGACATGGATTCCTGATATCTGATGACAGGTTTGTTCTCGTGTGTTCCATTAACAACAGCAAGAGACTCAGCCCTACCCCCATGCACTCCTTGTCCAGTTGCTCTCACACGGGCCAGAGGTCCTGCTTCAGTGCCCTAACCGTACCAGGTACCGGCCATTCTTACAGTTGGCACTGTTTATTTCAGCTGTTGCTCGGGGAAAAAAAAGCACTGTTGCCTCTGCAGGAGGCTGTGAAAGTGATTTAGGCAGGACCTTACACCTTCTGTACCCAAGGGGTTGTCTGTTAAGTGGGGTGGCATTGATAAAACATTTCTGAGTCTGAGTGGGGCTAGAGAACACCTAGTACCTCTGAGCGTCTTTTGGCTTCTACCACCACCTGTCACAACAGTCCTTACCTGTGTGCACACAGAGGAGGCACAGAATGACCTGGGAGAAACCAGTCAGAACCTTGGAACACCACGGTCACTTACTTCATTTCTAGCTAAATCAGAACGACCTTCAACACTAAAGAAAGATGAAACATTAGTTTAGAAAACCGTGAGATTTTAAGAGTTCCAACCCCAGATGGCTACAGGTGTCAGAAGGGTCAAACCGGCAGTAAGACAGCTGCTGGAGTGTGGCCTGCGGCAACCCCAAGCAGATGCAACACGCCTGCAGACCAGGCCTAGGCTGTGCACATACATCAAACGGCTTTCTTCCTCTGCGCTGGCCGAGTCCATTTCCTTGTAACCTGTCAGTGACTGGCGGAACTGACCTCAGAAACGCCTGCCTTTGTTCTCCTGTTGTTTCCCTGGTCTGCTCTCGGAGAGGGAAAACAGTGAGAACTTTGGCGGGAGAAGCTTAATAAAAGCTTCCTGGCGGGAAACCCACCCACAGAGGAACTGAGAAAAATGTAGACATTGTGAAGTTTGGCTATTGTCAAAAATATTGTTTCCTCTAAAACATTCCAAGTTAAGCCAGTAAAATATGTGTTAGAAGTAATGCTTGTGTAAAAGAATTTAAGAGCATGGTAGTTCTGTTCTGCCATTCCTGTTGTTCTTGGGGGAGAGGAGACACCATGAGCTACGCTGTTTCTCTGAGCCCGATACAGAAACTTGGTTTGACTTAAAACATCGGATTAGCATAGGCTGGCTGATTTTTTTTTTTTTTTTTTTTTACAAGTTCATTGCACTGAAGGGTATCTTGCATGTCTGTAACTTCTGTCAACACTTGTTTGTGTTAACTTCTGATGTTCTTTCACCTGACTTTGTTTATTTGGACAGATGAGCTTTGCAGTATATGCTGCATCTTTGTGGCAGATTCCTGTATTCTTAGTGATTGTTATCAACTATTGCTGAGAAAGCAAAACATTGTGTATTTCTATTAAACATTTACAATCAAAATCCTAACAACTTGTGTTCAAAGATCATTTAGTCTGATAGGTTTTCAAGTTGTTAATGATAAAAGTCCTTTGTTCAGAAAAAATACATAGCATGGTAAAATGTTAAATTCCGCATGTGAAAATGGTTGCTTGGGGGTGAAGCCTGCGGGAGGGATAACCTCAGGAAGTCCACAGAGCAATCTGAAAAGCACTGATGACAGAAAGCTCGGAGAAGTTACCTGACTGGCCTAATGTCATGATGAACTGGTACCGTAACTGACTACAGTGATCAGTCAGAAACCACTTGGGTGGAACCTGGCTTAGGCAGAGACCTAACCAGTGTCAGAAACAAGGAAGTTCGCATGGAACCCAAGGACCGCTCAGGATTTATGAATCTGTGTCACTTAGGAAGTTGATTACATTCAGGTGATAGGACAGACGGAAAGGCAAAGACCCATTAGTTTCCCAGTGAATCTATCTTATAGAAAATCAAGTATTTTATTTTCATTAAAAAAACCCAAAACTTGAAGTGGGAATCATTTTATACATTTATGGTTGCTGTTTAAAAGTCTGTATCCCAAGACATACTAAAAGCACCAAAGGGTTACCATCAAGTTTTTGCCCAAGTTCTAAGGACAGTTCTGAAACTTAATGGTATTGGGCTTGTATTTAGCAAATCCCAGACAGTTTGGGCTGCTCATTCCAAGGACGGAAGCTGGAAAATGTCCTTACAGTTGGGAGAGGAGAGGAGAGAGAAGGTGCCTTTCAGGAAGCCAGAGAACCCTTGCTGATTGGGTTTCCTGAGGAAGTGGGGAGAGCTCTGTGCTCATCAGTCCTTTAAGATTCTCAGAAGATGTGCCCACCGTGGGAGGAACAATGGTGTTTTGGGCTTAAAGACTCAGCCCCAGAAAGCTAAGGTCAAAGCCCAAGCAGCCGACCAGCCTTCAGAACCCTCCTCAGATTCTAGCAGAGTACTGAAACCAGCAAGTGGTGCTTCTGAGGCAGCCTCAGGAAGGTCTTCGGGGGGCTCTTGCAGAGGTGAATAAATTGGAAAGTTTTTACCCTACGTCATTTTCACCTGCAATGAAAAAAGCAGGAAGGCTCCCAAAGTCCGCTTCACATTCTTTCAGTGCTGCTGCCGGAGAAGTCTGTGTGCAAAGGCGTGATGTTGTGCTCGTAGCCGGCATACTCGGAGCCGCCGGTGCCGGCCAGCTTGAGCTGCTGCGCGGCGTGCGTCAGCTGGAAGGCGGCGTCCGGGTGCGCTGTGTCGGGCAGCAGCGTGCACTCCCTTTCCAGCATGTCGGCCACCCCTTTGAGCAGGTCCAGGAAACCAAATGCCAGGGCAGCCTTTCGCAAACGGTTTAGCTCCTGAAACAAGATTAAAAAAAAAACAACAACCCACCAATGTTCCTGAAATGCATTTTCCTTGTCACATACTAAGTCCTCAACTTAAACTACGTTTTTCTTGATCCCCAAACTTAAGTGAGCATTTTCACAGGAGAACAAGTGCTTGTACAGAGACACCAGTAACAAGAGGGTGTGATGACATGAGAGTTCCTCTACAGGTGATCAGAAAGCTGGCTGATCGAAACACAGGTGGTCACCACCACAGCCGATGAGCGCTTACACCAAACACGGTGAGACGCTTCGCACACACTTCATTCACTCCTAACTCTCAGGAGGATGACTTTTCCCATTACTCAGGCATGGAAAAGGCTAGTCCCAAACCTCAGAGGGCTCTGAACCCTCCAGTGCCTTCTCTCTGGCTGGGCCTCAGACCGAACAACAGTGAACATGTTTGAAGGCTCTGGAGGATGCAAGAAGTCTGACCTGAAAGACTGCCATGAAAAGAAGGATCGGGTAGTAGATGGAAGCGGAGAAATACAAAGAGCCCCATCATCAACCACTTAGCGGTGCAATCTAGGCCAGTTGTGTAGCCTCTCTGGGTCTCACTGGTCTCACTTATAAAGCAAGGATGACCTCTTATTTGCCCACTGCAGGGGCTGACGCAGGTGCCTGGCAGAGGCCCTTCCACAGCCCATATGTGGGATTCCATAAAGCCAGAAAAGAGAAGTGGGTTTTCTGACCACCTCTCTCCTATCATCTGTTAACAAGTGAAAAGTTCAGAAGAAGGCCAAAGTACAAGTGTGCCTTCTTCAGTAGACAGGTGACGACTGTAGGGGAGAAAGGGATTATAGCCAGGAGTGGTCATCAAGGGCCTGTGTGAACTATGGGCTTCATAGGGAGGGAGGGCATGGCTGGCTGAGCAGCTCTCTGGACTCTGATTAAGATTGCTCTTGCTTGATTTCGCCAGCCTGCCACATAATTAGGTTTGAAGACAACAGTGACATAAAGGTAATGAGAACACCCAGACAAAGTGGCACGTATGTTCTCCAGAAGAGATGCTAGCCTGGGGTAGGCTGTGTGCACCACCAAATACTAGTAGCTGGGCTACAGCTCACAACCCAGCATGCCTCACACCGCCGCTTAATTTCAGCCAAACACCAGATGGAAAGGGAAGAAACAAGGTGTTTACTTAAACGCACCCCCAACTCCATCCACTAGTTATAACTTTATTCCCTCCACCAATAGTTCTGGATTATCTAGGGAGGGTTCCGGAGGGCCCTCCTTTTGCAATTCATAAAAGTACAATTTTAGTAGTCATTCCTGGAAGCAGCTTCTCTGGTAGAGTAAGAATGTTTTGGGAAATCATCCTCCCGGGAAGTCCCCCTGGTTGTCTGGGGTTAGACTGGATACGCCTATGAGAGTGGTGAGGAGAGTTCAGGGCTTTGACCCATAGGTTCTTTTGACTCCTTCCCTCAGCCATTCACAGCAGCACCAAGACAGAGGAGCCTTGTGCACAGAACTAGGCCACTTAAGCACTTCTGATTCTTGGATTTTAGGGCAGCAGTGGACCTATCATTGCTATTGACTTTAACAATGAAAACACTGAGGCACAAGCCAAACATTTCTAATTCCTGTCCATGTTCATACTCTTCACTATTGTGAATGATTTATTTTTGGCACACATCCCAGGGCCCACTCTCTTCCACTATAATTCTGATAGTCTCACCTTATAGAATGTCTGTGTTTTTTCAGGTAATTTCCTTGCATTTCTTAAAATCTTCTGTACATCTGTCTATCAAGGGTAAAAAGATTTTAGCATTAGGATTCTGTGGTAAAAGGGGAAAGAATACAAAAGGATGGCTCTAAATGTTTAGAGAAATGAAAATGGGAACAGGTGCAAGGTCAAGATGAGCTTCCCTTCTGAGTTAATGTCACTGTTCTGTTCAACATTAGTAAAGCACCTCCCTCCTTTAAAATGTTTGATGATAATAAATCCCTTAGTGACAAAAGTGAACTCGTCTCACAAAAATACACCCAATAAACCCATACATCTATAGCCAGCTGCTCTCTGGCCAGGGAGCCAAGACCATTCAATGGGGGAAGGAACAGTCTCTTGAACAAATGGTGCCAGGACAACTGGATATCCTCAGGCAAAGGAATGAAGCTGGACTCTTACTTCACACCATATACAAAAAACCCCCAAAAAACAAAAAACAAAAAGACTTAAAATGGTTCAGAGACCTAAATGCAAGAGCTACAACTACAAAACTCTTAGAAGAAAACACGCGTAAATCTTCATGACCTTGGATTGGTAATGATTTCTTAGTTATGACAACAGCATAGCAACAAAAGAAAAAAAAATTTTGACAAATGTTCTTAGCACCGTTATTCACAATAGCCAAAAGGTGGAAACAATCCAAATGTTCATCAACTGAATGAATGGGTAAACAGAGGTGGCCATCAAAAGGAATAAAGTACTGATCTTTGTTACAAAACGGCCGAACGCGGAAAACATTACGCTAAGTGAAGGAAGCCAAACACAAAAAAAGTCATACATTGTATGATGCTATTTATATGAAATATCTAGAATAGGGCAAATCCACAGAGTCAAAAAGCAGATTAGTGGTTGCCAAGGACTAGGGGAAGCCAGGAATGCAGCGTGACTTGCTTAATGGGTACAGGGTTTCCTCTTGGGGTGATGAAAATGTTCTAGAACTACACAGTGATGATGGTTGTATAACATTATGATCATACTAAATGCCACTGGATTTTCAGTATACTTTAAAGTGGATGAAATGGTAAGTTTTATGTTATGTTTTTTCACAATAAAAAAAATACACCCAGACCAAAACAAAATTTAAAAAATAATTTAAGAAAAATTCAGCTTTCCTTCTGACAGGGAAGTACTGGGGTCAGGGATGGCAGGAGAGAACCTTATTTTCCAACAAAGCCCCTACCCCCTTAGCCATGGCAGGATGTGTCCAGTCTCTGTGGAAAGAAGAAACTGTGCCATCAACAGAAGCTATTTCCCTTGTCAGCTGGCCTAACCTCCCCTTCTCATCTGGCTTAGGTTGGACTCATTAGAGGAACAAAGAAAAAAAGATGGTGCTCAGGGCGCCTGGGTGGCTCAGTTGGTTAAGCGACTGCCTTCGGCTCGGGTCATGATCCTGGAGTCCCGGGATCGAGTCCCGCATCGGGCTCCCTGCTCAGCGGGGAGTCTGCTTCTCCCTCTCCCGCTACCCCCTCTTGTGCTCTTTTTCTCTCTCACTCTCTCTCTCAAATAAATAAATAAAATCTTTAAAAAAAAAAAAAAAGATGGTGCTCAAATGAGAAAAAAGGCTAAAAAAGTGATTTTTAAAAATAGGCAGAAATGACCATACGTCAGTAGAAGGAGAAACATCACTGAATACCTTGCCTGAAAACAGCATACCTTGAGAATAGTGTAATCTTAGCTTCACATAAAAGTAGTGTTTTGGTGGAATTAAGGTGTAATGCCATTGCTTGGGTTCTACTGTGGGGACAGAAGAAATAACCCCATGAAGATTTTTACATCCTTCTCAAAAAACTGCTGTCAAAGATAAAACCCATTATGTCAATGCCTCACCATGTCAAAAATTTTACACTGAAATTCAATGCCAGGAGAATATGTCTCTCTAGAACTGACATGCTTCCTTC